TCCTCCCCCCATATCAGAGGCAGCAAGGGGGTTGGGAGCAGGAGCCAGTGCTGGGGGGAGCTGGCTTAAAAGCTGGTTCCTCCCAGTACTGGCTCTGCAGTGCCACCTCCCCCACAGCCCATGCTGCTGCCTCTGATACGAAATAGCCTCTGTCCACAGCAGGCCGGGGTCTATAGAATAGTCAAGTAGCCAATAAGAGTTCATGCAGTTACTCGACTGTTCAGTTACCAAATAGCTAACATCCCTAATCTGAGCTGTATTTCACACATATCAGTGCATGTACTCTTTGTACATATATGCATACTGAATGCATTTATGCACTGAGGTCCATTTGTATATGTGTGGGTAGGCAAGAGTTTAGGGAAACATGGGTAGATTATCTATCCTGAATGGTTTGTATTATCCAACTTGTGATAAAATAGTCATATTAGACTGTTCAGTGAACTTTGTAGGCCAAATAGTCTATGAAACTGACTGCCTGTGTCATGCAGTCCTGCATCAGCCTCCAGCTATAATACTTTGAAACCCCATTATAATTGCTCCTTAGCATTGTCATTTAACCTTAGTATTTCATATAACACCGAAAAGGCTTGGTTCTCAAGAATGATGTTACAATGGGTAAATTAAATGGAACAATATATTGATTTTCAAGCTTTCAGTTGAATGTCTTTATCATCTTCAGAACTTGTAGAATGAACTATAGCTATATTTCAACAAACGTTACTGTTATCACAGTGAAGTTATTCACGGTGCCGTTTAATACACAATATGAAAACAGTTCTGATCATCCTTAGAATCATTGTGCTCAGCAATATAACTAGTTCATTCTTTTGAAATGTCAGTGATAACTAATTAAACACAAATGGGGGCCCTTCTTCCAAGGACATTAAAGGTGCTCAGAATTCAGAGGGTTGTGCCTAATAATAATAATAATGTGTATTACAGTAGATTCTAGGACCCCCAGTCATGCTCTAGGCACAGTACAAACACAATACAAAAAGATGCCCTTTTCCAAACTAATTCTTTTCTCTTATTGGGTTGGATATAAGCTATTACATTGGTGTACAGTGCTTAAATTTTTTTCTGAAGTCTACTGAACTCTAGTCTTTCATTAACTGGCAGGTTACTTTTTGGAGCAAAGAACTTGGAAAGCAACCAGGCTTTACATAATTCAAGGAAAAATCCACTTAAAACAAGTTTACTCTTAAAAATCAGCTTTAATTTGCAAAAAATAAACACTACAAAATCTGGAATATACACTGCAGGCATCTGTGTCTGCAGTTGGCACTTGACAAAAAGAAGAAAAAAATCAAGTAGCGTTCTCACAAGAAATTCATAAATATGTTGAACATACTATTGTCATCTTATATAGACTAGGATTACCCAAAGCAGCTATTTGCTTTTGGTTGATATTTTGGTGGTGCTTAAAGGTCTGGATATTAGAGACAGAGTGGTAGAAATGTGGAATTTCTCTAGTAAATGTCTTGAGAAAAATATGTAATGTCATTAAATGGGTTAATTTGTTTAACATAATTCAAGTACAGAAAAGTATTACTGAATCCAGAAATAATTCCTTGAATTAAAAATGTACCTTTTAAACTGAGTTTTCTTTAATGGTTGGGTCTTCCCTAGCTGTTCTAAGCAATCCCCAGACTTATCTTAGTAATATTGGTAACCAAGTTGTTCATTTGCATCCCACTACATTGTAATTAGTTTTTGATTTTATTGTTAATTTTAAAGCTGCAACACTGCTTGTATAAAGTTGGGAGATACAGAGAGCCTCTGGTGTACAATGCAGTCTTGTTCCTATTGTCAGTCCTGGGTGTCACAACAGTGTCAGCAGCTCATCTGCAGTTCATGGCATATAACTAAATAAGCAACCACCAATAGTACATAAAAACTCCAGAGATCTCTTTGATATTATTGAGAAGGGGTTAGGGTTAGGGTTATGTGTCTAACCACATCATTTTCTAGACTTTGACCTTCAGTCAGCTCCCAAATATCATAACAAAAATAATCTGGATATACAGGGGGATCAACATATTTGTCATGCCTCTGAGTAATGGGGTGAGGTGCTGACTCTGCACTCCTGGAAAGGACAGGGCTGAGGGCAGCCAGCCCTCAGAGCCACCCAAGCATACTAAGACAGCCTCTCACCCTCCCTCAGCTCTCTGAGTTGCCTGGAGCCTGGTGCTCTGGTGGTGATTTAAAGGGCCCAGGGCTCTGGCTTTTACTGCTCCTGTGGTGGCACCAACAATAATAGGAGCCCTAGGCCCTTTTGAAATGTCAGGCCCCAGGGCAGCTGCCTCCTTTCCCCTTCTCCTGTCAGCCAGCCTGTGGTTATACAAAGTTTAGAATGTTTGAAAACAATGACATTATTTAACATATTTTAACATTGTTCATTTTACTCAGCTTTTGTATTCTTCAGACCTCTCCCCCGCCCTGCCCCGACAGGTTTTTTTTCCCATATATGATGTTTTTGTTGGACAAACATTGAAAATGTAATTCTGTAAAACATACATTTTAGAAAGGATTTTCTGATTATCATTTGGGGGAGTAGAGTGTTGTTTGGTTTGGTTCGTTAAATTGGATTAAAATTTACTAATTCGTGTCACTGATGATTCAGCTATTTTAGAGCAAGTAAAAGCTGTTAACAATTGTTTTCATGACCTGTGTGTGTATGCGGATGAATGGATGGATAACATACTGTACATACTTAAGTATATGCTTGGTCCTGCAAACATGTACGTTGAGTAATTTTACCTTTATAGTTAGGCCTATGAAGTCAATGAGACTACTCATAGTAGAAAAGTTACTTAATATGCTATGACAGACCCAGACCAGCTGGCTGCTGCACTCACAGAAGGCGGATATGCTGAACTCTGGGTGAACAGTTTCCTCTTCTCTAAGTAAACAGGGCCAAACTTAGTGCAGCATAATCGGGCAAGCGTGTGGGGCCAGTTAAGAGTTTGCCAGAAGCAGAAGGCTAATCAGGGCACCTGCAGCCTATTAAGGCTTCTGGGGCTTGTTTATAAGCCTTACCCCCCCACCGACCCCCCTGCAGGAAGGGCAGAAGTGCAAGATCTGAGAGTGAGAGGTGTTCTCAATAAGAGCTGAGGACAGTGAGTAAGACAAAGTGCCATAGAAGAGCAGGCACCAGTGGAAAGGTACTGGGAGGGATTGTTTTGGGGAAGTGGCCCAGGTAAAAAGCTGCCAGACTGGGAGTAGAAGAAACCCTGTTTGTTGCCTCTGCCTTAGGGTCCCTGGTCCAGAACTTGGAGTAGTGGGTTCCCCTCCGCACAACACCACAGACTCTGCCCTTTAAAGGGAAAACCAGGACTATGGATCGGTTTTCATCCCAAACTGTGGACTAGCCTTTGATGAGTGTAGCTCAGTAGACTGTGACCGTTGCCTCTAGAAAAGAAGCAGCTGTGTGGAGGGTCACAGCAAGCCTCTGACGGAAACACTATCCCCCAAAAGCGCAGAACCCTGGGGCATAGCCAGAGCTTTACCACAATGCACAGAGTTTACAGGTTCAGACCCCATATTTTTGTATGTACTGTAAATTTACACATGTGTATTTGTAAATATTCTTCCAAAAATCATATATAAAAATGGATAACAGCGTGGCTAGAGATTTATTCAAATTTTTTAAAGTTGCACAAAGTTTATCAAAATGGCATTTGTTGTAAAATGTTTCTTGACACATCATTGGACAAAGTGATGACTAGACACATGAAAACATGGAGTTACTAATGCTTTTGTGTGCACATGCATACACATAGACAGATATGTAAACTGATTCTAGGCAGCACCAAAGGAAAAAGAGGTGGGCCATAGGGAGGTAGCTAATCAGCAATGCAGGTGGTTCAGGTAGCTGCTTTTCACACAGATAATTAATGTGAACAAGTAGCTGCTAATTGCACATTTCAGGAATGATTTATGAGGTGGCAGAGAGGAAAGAGGGGCACAATCTAATTTCCTTCAGAATCTCTGCCATTCATACAATGCTATCAGCACAGCTGTGAGATGGGACATGATTAATTATTAGTGAACAGTGGGTAAACACAGCCATCATAAAGGGTGCTATTTTGATGGCAAGCTCATCAAAATAGAAAGTGGCACTTACTCAGAGTGATAGTCAGTAACAGTGCAGATTGAGTTTCTTTTACCTAGTTCTGAAACAAGGTTGCTTACGTCCATCAGAATGATCATTGATTTGATATAGAATATTGCCATTGACTTTTATTAATAAGTTTAATAATAAGTCTATGAACAAAAGATTACAGATATTATTTTATTTGCAGTGGTTTAAAGGAAAATAAATATGGCAAGGAATTAATTTATTTATGAAGGACATTAAGCCTAGGTTTATTAATGTGTCCCGTAATTATCTGCCTCTGGTGCTCCATTTCGACTGCCACATAGGAGCAGTATTCTTCCTATTCACACACCCTTTTCTGCCATCTATTCTATGCTACACAAAAATAACTATGCAAAAATATTACTTGCTTTTTTTTTAGGAGGAATGATTTGCACATCCTTGTTTGCTCTACCTTCTTATCTGGGCTAAAGATCTGTTGTACTTTTACTGATGTGTTTTGTGGCTTGATTAGTATATCAATTTGTTATGCATTTTTAAAGGTGTTAATCAGATTTATCTCAGAAAAAGATTGCTACTGAAATTTGAAAATCTAAAATAATCTTGAAATAGTAAATATATACTAGGTAGTTCTGTTTAAAGAGCAAAAGTTGCCTGTTTTACTGAGATCATGAAGAATTGGCTTATTTGTTTGTTTTGATCGAGTACCTTTTTCATCTTTTCATCAGAACATTGAAGTGTTTTACATTGACCTAGTACTGACATTTCTTTTTAAGGATGTACGCTCCAAATAAGATATATTACTAAAGTATGTGATCATTAAATAATACAGTATAAACAAAAAATATTGCAGATGGATAAAGAAAACAAGATATTTAATTCTATTCTATTTTTATAGCTTTTAGAATTTGACAAAGAGCTGTCAGTCTTTAAAGACAGATTGTATGAACTGGACATCTCATTTCCACCCAGGTAAGATACATATATTCTCCATTTGTTTAACTTGATGGCTAAAATGTAATTGTTATTAGTGCAAGAGGGAGAGTGTGTGTGGTTGTGTATATATTTATACATGTATGTATTTAGTTCCTGCCATAAAGTTTTGCAGCACTTCCTGTATCCCATCCGTTACTAGTATGAACAGTGACCGCTTATAGGTTGGATACTGTTAGTTATCTGTAAAATGCCATCATGAGGATTCAACTAGTCCCATATTTGTATAGTTGATTTCAGAATACTGTAATAAACTAGAGTGCTTTATAACATGTACAGGTTGAATCTCTCTAGTCCAGCACCCTTGGTACCTGATGGGTGCCAAACCAGAGAATTTGCCAAAACACAGGAGGTCAGTATTGTCTAGCAGCATTACCAACACTTCCTCTGCTTACTGGGCTCTTAGAATAAACTTAAAAAACAACAAAAATCTGGTAGCACTTTAAAGACTAACAAAACATGTAGATGGCATCTACATGTTTTGTTAGTCTTAAAGTACTACCAGATTTTTGTTGTTTTTCAAGTTTATCCTGTGCAGACTAACTTGGCTACCCCTCTGAAGCTTTTGGGCTCTTAGAAGACATTTAGAGGTAAATGAGAGCTAAATAACAGCACAGAACACTGAGAGACAGGGCTGGTGGCTGTAAATAAACTTTACAGGACCATGGGTTACTTGGCCAGATCCATGATAAGTGGATGTCCAGCTAACTAACAGCATGCTGGATCATGAAAGTTGCTGGACCAGAGAGTGCCAAACTAGAAAGGTTTAACCTGTATTTGTTTGTAGAACTTCAGCATATAGCTATTTTTCTGCACTGACTAAACCTGAGTAAACTTAAAAAAATTTACCATACAAAAATAAATAAATCTTGGCTTTGAAACTTTGACACCAACTGAAAACTGACTTGTACAAAATGTGAAAGTGATTGGTCTAATTTCAGTGCTCAAGTGAAAGATAAGTATCAGAAAGGATTAAAAGAAATTGAAAGCATTTTTATAATCTCCTGTATGGTTAGAATCATAGAATACTTAGCAAGACTGGTAATAAATTTGGGTTTTTAAATAAATGTGTAAATCTGATCATGTGCCCCGAATTGAATTTTAGCAGTGATTAAATATCTACCATAAACAAACCAAGACCAAGAATTTTTTAAATTACAGTTATATTCTGGAGAAATCGTAGGAAACTTTTGAGTCATTTCTAAATATCTATGACTCCATTTCGAGAAAAGAGAGCTCAACTCTCATGTCTGGTACAGCTGCTGTGAAGAAAGGGAAAAAAGTATTCACAAAAGAAAACTAAAATTAAGGGAAAAAGTCAGACACACAATATAATGCATATGTAGTAGAGTCCTATAAAATCATGCATAGTGCTGTTGTATGCGTAACTTGTATTTTTTCCCATTGTGGTGGACACAAAAGTGTGATGTTTTGGCACAATCTGAGAAAAAAATTTGGAAAGCATGCCTTTTTGTTATCATAATCTCGTTAGTTCTCACCAGCCAGCTGTGATACTGCATATATTGATCCCTAGGGACAACGGAAGTATGCATGAAGAGGTTGCCACTGCTCTAAATTGTTCTTATTGATTGAGTATGATAACAGAAGACCAATAGTGTGTAAATCTCCAAGTGTATTTCATTAGCTATGTACCTGGCCGAGAGGGAGGGGGAAATGCAGATGAATTTGTTACTAGGATATAGATCATCACAGAATTTCACAAATATTAATTCAATCTTATAAGAAATGTTAGTTCTCTTAAGTATTAATGGCAGCTATCTGATTAGGTTCAGTTTACATTATGACATGCTATAACATACATTGCATTAATTTTCAGGTTTGACCTCAGTATTTATGACTACATTAATTATTAATACATATTACATATTGAAATCCAGTCTCTATCACTAGCATCAATGACATAGACTGCTCCTAGAATAAAGAATCTCTAGTCTCTAAGAGCAGGTAATATGACACCTCGTTATAGGCACCGATGGTAAAACTATCAAGGTTATTTCACACTTCTTGGTATAAGACCCTATTTTCATTTATATATAACTTTGCTGAATTTTATCTATATATATACAACGTGCTAAAATTTGAGCCAAAACTGTTCAGCCATTTCCAACAGCAAAGCTAGGGAAAATTGTTGAATTGCCTGTTAAAAAAAATGTTGAGCCTTTTCTGGCATCCTCCTGCTTTGAATTGTGTCCTTGACATTTGGCAGGGAATAGACATTTGTCAGAGAAGTGCATTTTACTGTCCTCAAGAAAAGCAGCCTAAATTTGGCCAAGTCTTTGAAAAATCTTGAGTTTGCAAACACTCAGGAGAGACTTTTTCAATTTTAGCAGCTAAATTACACAAAGATTGCATTTGCTTTGGACATGCTCCAGTCCTGGCTATAGCAGAACTTCCCCTGCAATTGCAGCTTTGCGCTGCTACTGGCAATTCTTGGTCTTGGGACCTGAATTGAGAACATAGGTGCTGACCCCTGTGATCACAGTACACCAGCCCCAAACCCTGGTGCCCAGGCTCCATGGAGGAGGAAGCAGTCTGATTCACATGCAGAGATGACACAAACTTTGCCTGCAGGGCAGTAGATTAGGACAAGGAGTTTACAGGGAGACTGGGACTAGAGGCTGACAGAGAGGGGTGGGCAAATGGGGGTGGGACTGATGTAGCAAGGACATTGGATGCTAGAGGCAGAGTCTTATACTAGGAGCTGTGTTTGTGAGGAAACTGCAGCTAGTGGGAAAGTGGACAAAGCCTGGGAAGTGAAAGGGACTGAGCTTGCATGGGTAAGAACACTGGGAGCTGGAGAGGGAAATTTTAGGTATTTTAAGGGGAGGCTGAATGGGCACTGATTGGGCTGCTCCAGCCCGGCCAGGCCACTGGTTTACTTGTTACCAGTAAGCATCGCCCAGTAAGATTAACTGGTTACATCCCTAGGATGGATGCAAATCTCAAAATTCAATGAGGTGTCTGGGGAGAAAGATTGGGACTAGAAGGCAGTCGGATTGAGGAGCACGAATGGATGGGTGGATGATTTGAGTTTGGGCTGAGGGAGAGAAAGATCACATGAGGAACCAGAAGTGGGGCAATTTAAATTGGCTGGCACGGAGAGTGGGATGAGGGAGGAGATATGAGATGGGGATTCTAAAGAGACAAGACTAAGACTTTCTGGGCAAGGAGACTGAAATTGGGATGAGAATTCTGAGGGAGACTTGGACTGGCTAAATGAGGAGAATGGGATTGAAACAAGGAGCCAGGGACAGATGACAGAGGACAGTGTAGTGAATCCAAAGATTCCAACCCTGCCGATGACCCATGCTGGTATAATGTCATATAGTGTAATTATTTTCAGTTTCTTTTTAAAAGCTCAAGGTTATTACACACAAAAAACTATGTTAAAAAGACATTCTTAAGATTGCAAAGTCAAGCACACAGAAGTTAGGAAATGTCAGAATTAAGGCTGCCTGTGCAACCGTAATTCAGCCCCCAATAGGTGTTTGCATTGAGATACAGTCTTTAATTACTGGATCACATCCCAGTACTAACATAGGACAAACACCTGATTTAATGCATAGGATGGATCTGGTCTGAGGATTAATCAGTAAATACAGTGAAGGAGGTTGTTGTCTGTGGGACCCGTGCCCAATGAGTTGTAGCGGTTGGAAAGCATACTCTGAATGAGGCAGAAGTTTACAGAAAGAGAAAGGATGATGTACATGGGTGATATAGTGGAATGGTGCCTTGGGAACTGGATTCTATCCTTTGCTCTGCCCAGGCCTGCTGATGGGGGGGGGGGGGCAAAAGGAGCAGTTGCCCCAGCATTGGTGGCAGCCATAGCCCCAGGCCCTTTAAATTGTGCGGGAGTGCCACACTATGCTGCAGACAGCTCTAAGGGCTGGCAGGGAGGAGGAGCAGCCCCAGCCCTTCTGCCTGAGGCCCCACCCTTTCTGGTAACACAGAGCCAGTCCCTCCACACACTTTGCCCAGGGCCCAGAGAGGCTATCGGTGCACCTGGCTCTGCCATAGTATTCCTGTGTGATACTGTCATTTAAACTAAACTTTTCACAGATGTTAACTAATGGTGTGTACTTTGTTTTCTGGGTACCTCATTTGAAGCACTCAGATCTGATTTGCAGAAGTGCTGAGCACTCAAGCCTGCAACTGAAGTCAACGGGAGCTGTGCTTACAATCTATGAAGCACTGTATAACGCTAAGTACACTGAAGAATCAGATTATAGGTGTCTCAATTTGGGCACCCAAAATTAATTGATTATTTTGACTTCTTCCTCCTTACAAAATGGGCATAATAATAGTGCCACCTTATCTCACAGGGTGTTTTTATAGTACTTGGATACTATAGCACTGAGCACCATAGGAAAGCCATAAGGAAATTATAATAATTCTGTTTTCAGAGCAGGGTATAAATAGTGTGCAGTAAGTAAGACTGAGGTCTGTTCATAGAAAAATGAGGAGAAAACAAAATATTGACTAATTATATTAAGTGACTAAAAACTTATACCTCATCTTGTAAATAAGTACTGTATTATAATGCATATGCACAGACAACCTTAATTCTGCCATTCCTAACTTTGGAATGGTTAACTTTGCAACCTTAATAATGTTTGTAATGTTTTTATATATAATATATATTACCTTTGATAAGCAATAACTATATTATCTTTGTAGCTAGAAAATGGTGCTAGAAAGTAGTCTGGTGTGAACAGGAGGATATGCTAGTATGCTAATAGCATAGTTACCCTGTTCTATGTCATCAGGCCAACAGCTGATGTTGATGTAATTGAAAACAGATGTGTGCTTTTTGGGAGGACAGTACTACAGTACGAGTGGAGAAATTAAAATTTTATTCATTAGCTTTTATGGTTCTTCTTGTCTTAGCATCTAAATACAGCGACATGAAGCATTACAAATATATAAATTATTATTTGTTATCAAACCAGCATTGTACA